ATGCGAGTATATACGGTACCTGATACGACAACGACCCCTTCAGTATCACTAACAGCTGTGAACGACGGATAGCACTGTAGTACACACTCGCAGTCTCTGAAAGAACAAAAGAAAGAATGAGTGAATTAGTAAATGAATGAATGAATAAATGAGTGAATGAATGAATATATGGATAAATAAATGCGTGAAGGAAAGCACGAATAAATTAATGAATGTATGAATGAATCGATGAACGAACGAACGAACGTACGAGGCGGCATACGAACGTGTGCACTGTAATGACATAGTTTGCGTTGTCGTTCTTAGGCAGGAGGTGAAGCCAACACGTGCCGGCACTGACGTCTGGTGCATGAACCAGTTTCGTAGCTGGTCGAACGCGTGCCGTCTGCCCGGCGTCGTGCGCGACAGCATCGTCCGCCATTTTAAAACAGGTATCGTAAACACACAGCATCGTCACACCTGTACACGAGGGTCGGTCGAGCTGATACACAGAAAAGCGTCCTTTGTGGACAGGTGCCCGATACATGCAGGTGATCTATCACCGTACGATTGCCGCTCGAGGAAAATCGCGCGAATTGCCGTAGTAACCGTCTTCCCTCTCTCTCGATCGCTTTGCAGAGAGCGAGGGCGACTGCGATAGCCACCTGGTGGTGATGTGCCGGGGTCGCATTTATCGTCTGCCGACGCTCGACGATGCCGGCGAGCCGTTCACGCCGCCGGAGTTTCAGCGCCAGCTGGAGGCTATCGCGGCGGACACTGAGCGACGGGGACCCGGCCCGGGGCTCGGCATTCTCACCTGCGACGAGCGCACATCATGGGCACAGGTAGTGTTGCAGATCGGTCCAAATTTCATGATCGATCATCGGTTTTACAAAACGACCGATGATCGATTATAATCATCGATCATTTTAGATTGCGGCGATGACGCGGTGACGCCGTGTCATTGTCGACACAACCGGTGTATTGCGAAGGAATATTGACATTATTGTATGTGTAGCTAGTATTTAATGGTAAGTAAATTAAGGATACTGTTGGCATGATTGTATGTGTAGCTAGTATTTAATGGTAAGTAAATTAAGGATACTGTTAGGGTTACGGACGGGTAACACTCTAAAGGACATTGCAACATAACTGCTCATCAAATTCAATCAAAAAAATGAGTTTGAGTTGTCCTCGGTCGTCCGATTTTCTACTCGATTAATCAACTCGGCAGCCCAAACGAGTAATGATCAACGAACCGGAACACCACTAGGCTCAGGTGAGCAATCTGCGTCTCTACCGGTACGGGAACGCGGTCGCGCGTCCTCGTGTCGAAAGTCACTTGTAGGGAAGGGTTTTCGTTGTTACACGTTACACGTCGGGCAATGATCGTAGACAGTGATGGTCGAAGGCATCGTGTATAATATAGACAAATATTTAGCATGGCGGGTGCATTTTAGGATGGCGGGGCTCGACGATAGCCTGGCAGGCCGCCAGGCTATAAGTGCTTTTGGAGAACTCTGTAGTATGTATTATATATACGTTGTAAGTTTATATTTAGAGGTATTGTATATGCAATGGCATAGGTTCACTATATACTAGGTAATCTTCTAGTACATTTTCCCGGGTATGTTATGCAAAACGCTAGGTCAATAGCCCGAGATGTGATAAATACTGCCACATCGGGTTTGAAGTGCAAAACGCTAGGCCATGGCTATATGCATGCTATCAGGAGTAAGATAATATAGGTCCTATATTATCTTACTCCTGATGCTATCACTATCTCGTTATCGTTTTGGCAAGTATACAGTTTATCTAAACGACTCCGATAAGAGCCTGCTGCTTACCTGGGTGTAAATATGCAAGCTCAATATATGCTAACATAATCTACGGATTACCGCCCATGCATCTTATACGTTTAAAAAAAACAACTTGGCTTAAAACATCTGTAAATGTAACTTAGTCACGTACAACTTTTGCATCTTGGAAGGCTGCTTTATAATTCTGGTGGTATCGCCTTTCGCCAGCCATGGACACGTGTTGTATCTTGCCTAACGTTATGATATTGTTTGAAATAAATTTGGCCATAGTGCAGGATTTTCGTCTAGGAGAGAAGAACCCCAATCGAAGTTTCCAACCGATTCTGTTGCCATCCCAATGTTCCCACTACTGTAATTGATCTTGATTCGCACTTCTGATTTCATGCAGCTTGTACTTGGAACCAGGACAAAACACTCGAACGTCCGCCATGAGTTCTTTGGCGGGGCCGGATGGAGGAACCGGTGAGGCGACGTTCCAATTCCAGGACGGGTTACGGTCGTTGCCTGTTCCATCGCTGGACCAGACTCTGGCTAAGTACCTCGACTCAGGTACGTTTGTGGCCCACCTTCTCAACGATCGCGATTCACCGATGTATCGGTTATCACATGCTTTTATGTAGCATGCTCCATTTGAGTGGCAACCAATAAAGCGCACACACGTGCACGCGCACGTATATACACTCATTGCCTCGGTTTGATCACTGTTCACCGGTTGCCTTGCTGACAGTGAGACCACATGTAACTGAAGCTGAGTTGCAGGCGACGGAAGCCATAGCAGAGAGGTTTCGCACGGGTATTGGCCAGCAGCTTCAGGAGAAACTTCTGGAGATTGGCAGAAGGCAGCGAAACTGGGTAATATAGCATGCGCGCTGAGAGGGCGGGGTGAGATTCAATCGAATCGGCGGGTTTTTGGTTAATTACCGTACTTACTGGGCGGAGCTTATCCCTCATTCATATGTCACACCCTCTGTTGTTGTGTTGAAACACCTGAGTTCTATTACGTTATGAAAACCTGACGGATGTAACCGATCAACCCTTTCTTCCTCCCTCGGTTTGTCCTCCTTTCTACATTAGAGTTTTGAAAATGCCCCCAGCAAATATACCTCCACATACCAAGTTTAGTATGGTTACACACTCACCACATTAACACCCTCACCTAGCACAGATCTATGTTTTAATAACAAACCTTAAGTATCGTAATGAAAGATAAATTTAAAATTATAAACTTTAAAAAAAATAAATTATTAACTCTAACTATAACTACGTCTTTTAGTCAACAAGAAAATAACTGTATAATCGCCGTAATTTATTGCTAGAGAATATTAGCGCGGTGCTATGCAAAGCGGCCCATATATTACGTACGATTTTGGTCAACGTAATCGAGTTCCACGATGAGCATACAGCTAATCGGGTGAATCATCTAGTCAAAGTGTAGCTATTAATACCCCCCCCCCCTGGGTGTTAGGTTGATCTGTGTTTCACGACGAAAGCTACGCAATAGACCTGTGACTCCATCTAAGCCGCCTATGCTCCATGCAGATCACAAATAACTGACACCTACTTCCGATATGGGCAACGTTATTGTAAGGACTAAAAAGGCAATGAATGAAAACTTAGCACAGCAATGCTCATCAGATTTAATGGCTACTCTCTGTAAAAGCGTTAATACTGCATATTTATCTTATACAGTACAGGCATTGCGTCATTATTGTTCGCAAGTAAAGTGTGCAGATATTCAGCAAAAAACACCAATGTGGTGAAACATTCAAACTTTTTTTTATCGATACTAAAATTGATACTGGTGGCTATAGCTTGATTCCGTTCCACCTGGGCGAATAAATAGAGGTT